CCCAAATGGCCCTGTCACCTGCAGCACTGCAGGGTTGCTCAGCAGGGCCCAGCTCTGGACCGCGGCCCCCCTCTGGAGCAGGTGCACACATTCACAAGGAGGCCCAGCGGTGGCTCCGCCTCCTTGAGAACCAGCCCTTCTCTGGGGCGGGGGGCCCCCCCCCCGGGGGCCCCCCCCTCGGGCCCAGCCTCGGCCCCCCTGACCCTCCTTTTGTTTGTGTGGCTCCAGTCCAAGGGCTCCCCCCGCCCCCCTGGCAGCCTCCCTTTGCGTGGACGCAGGGGAGACTGACAGCTAGGAGGGGGGTCCAGAGCATGGGTGACAGGTGCTGCCTTTCCTCTGGTTGTCCCAGTAGAGGATTTTGAGGTCCAGAACTTTCCTGGAGGTGGGGAAGGGGCCTGGGCCCCAGAGGGCAGGGGTGAGGTTAACCCCACAGGAGCTCTGCCTGCTGCTCCCCCTGGAAGGCCGACAACCATCCAGACCCCAGCCCCAGGAAGGGGTGTGGGGGGCAAGGGGCCTGTTCTTTCCTTTAAGGTCCCGCCCTGTTGGAGGAGTGGGGAACAGGTGGAGCCCTGGAGTCCGTGAGCGGAGAAGCCGGGGCTCCCTCAGGGATCACGCAGAGACCCCCTTCCACCCTCCAACCCCCTGCTCCAACTGGGGTGGGGGGTGGGCCTGGCCCAGTCAGAACACACAGAAAGTGGTTTTAGACCCAGGAAGCACATCACCGAGAACACAAGCCTGGCTAATGCTCAGTGGCTATTCATGCTGAGCCATCAGCGTGAGTTCAAGCTTTATTTTTGCCTAAGTTTAACTTTTATTTACTTATTTATTTATATTTGTTTTTGAGAGACAGGGAGAGAGAAAACGCGCGTACACGCATGCTCGCACAAGCACACACGGGGGAGGGACGGAGAGAGACAGAGAGGGAGAGAGAAAATCCCAAGCGGGCCCTGCTCTGTCAGCACAGAGCCCGACGTGGGGCTCGATCCCAGGAACCGTGAGATCATATGATCATGTGAGCTGAGACGCTTAACCGGCTGAGCCACCCGGGTGCCCCATCATTTTAACGTTTAGATAAAACCTAAATAGAGCAAAGCACACGGTCTCGGGGCCAACATGCACGCCGTGGGGCAGCGGGATAAAGCCAGGGGACAGGCGACGATCACAGGTGCTCACTCCTCCGTTGTCAACGCGTTCTCTAGGACCACGGCCAGCGACTGCAGCGGTGGTCACACTGTTGAGCCTGGCGGCCTCCCCAGGGGGGTGTCGGGGGAGCTCAGACCCTGTTGTGTCCGAGTCTGCTTCCTTTCAACTGCTGCTGACAGAGGACGTCCTGTCTCGCTCCCAGTCCTGAGGGTTCCCACTCCCATCTGCCCATAGGGATGGCGTTAGCTGTGGGCTGCTGAGAGACGTGCCTTGTCAGGTTGAGGACGTGATCGTCCACGTAAAGGCTCAGGTAGCAACGGACGTTACATTTGGTCACATGCTTTTTCTGTGTCTGTGATTTTTCTAATTTTTCTGATTTTTCTGATTTTCAACCAGATTTTTGTTGGTTTAACGTGGTGAATCACACTGATCGGTCTTTGAGCCAACCCCGCATTCCCGAGGTTCGCCCCGCCCGATCACGAGGGATTATCCTTCTAGTCAGTAGATTCGGTTTGGCAAAACGTTACCGAAGATACTCGTTTTCTATGTCGCTGAGACACTGGTTTGCATCTCATTTCCTTGCAATATCGTCGTGTGGTTTTGGTACCGGGTGAAGCTGACCATACAGAAAAGCTTTGAGGCTGCCTGGGCACGTGGGTTACGCAGCCAGGTGCGGCCGGGTGGCGAGGGAAGCAGGCGGGTGCTCCCGTGACCGTCGCCCCTCACACCCCTCCAGGCTCTCTTCCCCCCTGCCTCACCGGTGTGGGAAGTGGGTGCTCTCCGGACAGTGCTGGACCTCTGACCCCAGGGGCCATTCTTGGCCGCATCGAACAGACTCAACACACAAGTAAGGCCACAGTGGACACCCGCGGGTCTGATGTTGCGTAAGGAGCCACATTTATTTCTTAATTGGACAGATTCTTAAGTGCACACACACAGTACAGGAGCCTAGAGCCTAACACTCAGGTTTAGGACGTCAGGGAACTCGAGTCGTTATGTTGGGATGGTGGTTACGGTGCAGGGGCCAGGGTGTGCCACACAACCACATATGTACAAGCTACGGGGGGACGCGGGGGACAGCCAGCTGCGGGAAGCACCGGCCTGGAAGAAGCCATAGAGTCTGTTGATCCCTGGGGGCACTTCCCCGGTCCCCGGGGTAAAAGGAGGGCGCCTCCCGGGGTCCCGCACCGGAGGGGGCAGACGGAGGACCAGCACTGCGATCCGCTGACGCCCGAACCACCAGCGACATTCAGGAACTCTCCCCGAGTGCTTCGCCACGCCTGCCCGACAGGTGCGGAGGGGGAACCGGGACGGAGGGGGAGGCTGCCTCCCTGCAGCCACCCGGAGCGTGTGTGTGCGTGTGTGTGATCGGTGACCGAAACGTTGGCATCTTAGGAGTGATTCCTCGGAACACGGAGGCCTTGGAACTTGGGAACACGTCAACACCCCTGGGCACCAGCTGGGTCACACTGGAGCCTGGAGCCCAGTGCCCCCCTTCCTGGGACCACAGCGGATCAGCGGGGGGACTCCCCGTCTCCCTGGAGGAGACAGAGAGCTTCTCTGGGTGAGGACGGCTATCCCTCAAAGCAAAACGAGTGCCATCAGGTGGTAAAAAAAAACTCCCAGAGAGATGGCTTTCTGGATCTTTCTTCCCTCCCCACTCGGTGAGACATCACAGCCACAGCCAGGCCTGACCTTCCTCTGGGAAACCGCAGCCTCCCTCGTCATAGATGTGAAGACTGTGGCCCAATTTGCTAAGTGCCGTCCCCTCTGACGTGACACGTTGGGTAGCTTCCGGCAGGGCGGACAAGGGACCAGGTGTTCTGACTCGGATCTCTCTCCCCACCGACTCCAAGGGTCTGGCAGGGGACAGGGGGTCCACGTGGCCCACACCTGGCTCGCGGGCACGGGCACCAGGGCCAGAATCAAACGGTCCTGGGGGCACCTCCATGGCTGTGGAGGCTCCCGCGTATGGGGCGCGTCCCCCCTTCCCTCAGCCCCACGAGGCAGGTGCTCTGCAGGCTGGCTGGCCTCAGACCCCTGCGCCCCGGGTGCGGGGGCCTCGGAGCCTTCCCAGGCCGCGGCTCCAGGCTGGCTGACCTGGGTGGCCTGCGGCTCGGGCCCTGCACCTCCAGTCTTCCCGCGGGAAGGGGGGCTGTCGGGAACCAACTCATCTAGGAACCACGTCCTCCTTCCCTGGTCCCCTCCCTGCCCTCAAGGCCATCACAGGAGCCGGAATAAATGCTTGCTCTGGACTGTGCCATACCCCTGCCCTCTGCGTCTCGGCCCGGGAACATCCGGTCTCCGGACGTTTGCTCTCTGTCCAGGATGCGAGCCCTCCTCTGGGGGTCCCCAAAGAAGGCCGCTGGGTCCCCGCGTCCCACAGATGTGGTTTCCTCGGACGCGTTTTCTGCCAGTGGAGCGATGCCATCAGTGGTGACTTCTGAGCACCGGGACGAGGGGAGCAGCGGGTGGAAGTGACCGCTGACGCACTGCCCAGACCAGCTACGGGAAAGGCGCGCTCACAGCCTCCAAGCGGCCCGGCACGGCCAGCGGAACCAGACGCGGCTGCCAGACGGCGCTCAGATGGGGGAGCCCGTCCGCCTGGTCCCACGTCCGGGGCGAAGCTCAAGTTATTGGGGGGATAACTTTCCCAAAGGGAAGCCTCCAACCGAAACCTGGTGGCTTGGTGTGGGAGCCACGCCCACGCACCTCTAGAGGAAAGAGGCCGCGCACACCTCGGGCCTCACGGCACGGAACCCGTACCATATCCACAGGCCTCGTCAGTGCCGCTTGGGGACAGCCAGGCTGAGGGGGCCCCAGACCACTGGCCGGGGTGCGACAAGGTGATCTGAACCAAGTGGGAAAGGGGGTGTCACTGGGGTGCCCTGCAGGGTCTGGCGAAGGCAGTGGAAGGCACCAGAGAACGGCATGGACGCCCAGGTTCCGAGCGGAACCTGCTCGTGGCGGGACAGGGGTTTCTGGATCGGTTGCTGTTTTGACTGGAGGCCACGTGTGGCTGCGGGCAAGGGAACAGGTCACCGAAGACCCCCCCAGACCCCGGGGTTTCTCTGATGTGTTTGTGGCCCGGGTGTGGTGCCCGACCGGACTCCCAGCCCGGGGCAGGCTCTTGCCCCGGCGGCCGGGCCTGGGGCGGGCAGTCCCTGGGGGCATGAATCGGACACTGCAGCAACACAAGGGCAACGCCCTCTGGTGCAGGAGAGGGGAGCCTCCTTGATGACGGGGGCCCCGTTGCTGGCTGCCCTCCCCTGACCCCGTGGAATCTTCTCACTGGGACTCACAGACACTCCTCTCTCGGGGCAAGGGGGGGAAGCCACACACCTTCTTCCCGGGAACCACCTGGAACTTGAGAAGCTGCACCCCCAGCCCCCCACCGCCCGGACCATCTCTCCCCCCGCCACCTGCACCCTGCCGGCCTGGACACACCACCCCTGCCGTCCCTGCCGGGAGAGCCCCACAGCCCAGGGGCCCATCTGCCTGGTCCCCCTCGTGCCTGCACGCTCCTGGGGAGAAGCTGCCGGCACTGCCCGCGGGGTCGCGTCTCGGCGGCCGCTGTCCGGGTGAGATGCGGATTCTACCTCCGGCTGGGAGGGTGCACGCCACCCCCCTCGCGGCCTGGACCTCGGGCGCCGGGTCCCCTGACGCTCACACACACACACACACACACACACACGCACCCCGGGTGGAAGGCCTCCCCCACGAGCCTGAGCTCGGGCCTGGGTGGACGTGCCCCCGTGGTGCCAACCAGGTGGTGCCCCGGCCTGTGCAGACGCCTCTTCACCGTGGTCTTCCCTACGAGGCTTGGGGATGAGAGAGGGAACAAGCAGGGGACGGGGTCCATCCGAATCCTACGGGTCTATGTGAAGGCATTAGAAATAAATACTTATAAATAGAACACAGTCTTATAGTTAATTTCTGAGTGGCCTGTTTCGGTGTCACTAACTAATGTATATTAATTATAAGTCTGTCTATGCTTAAAAAAATATCAGAACGGCGGCGACGCCCCTGACTTGTGCCCTCCGGCCTCTCTGGCACCTCCCAGCCGCTCCCACCCGGGGCCCGCTCCGAAAGAAGACAGAACGTGGCCTCTGCTCGGGGCAGGATAGGTCTTGCGGTGCAGGCGCCCGGGCCAGAGGTGGCGCTCTGTGGGGCCCCGCGCAGCGTCCCCAACAGGGGACCGGCTGGCTGGCTGGCTGGTGGGGGCAGGCTGGGCACGCGTGACATGACGGATGGTGACGGGGACTGGGGGCGGGGCTGGCCTGCTGGCTGTCGTGGGGGCGCGGGGGGCTCCGGCTCAGACCCTCATCTGGGCAGACCGCCGTCTGGACAGCTTGGACCTGCGGGAGGTGGAGACAAGCGGGGGTCGGGATGTTGGCCTCTCGGCGGCGGACGCCCCCTCTGCTTCCCTGCTCACCCGGAGACCCGGGCTCAGGAGTCGCCCACCTGCCTTCTGCAAGTCAGCGGTGCAGGAGGGGCGGGGGTCCCATCGCCAGGGCTCGCTGTGCCCAGGCCTGACCGTGAGTTGTGTTTGCAACCGCGTGAGGGCCTGCCCCCGGGAGCAGGGACATTTTGCAAGTACATCTTGCAGGAGCAAGAACATCTCAGGGGCTCATACGCTTTACCAGCAGCAACGACACAAATTAGGCATTAACATCCTCAAGAACGCGCCCGGGGGCGGTGCCCTCCTGCCACCTGCAGGGGGTGCCGCGTACCGTATGGTCCCGGCCAGGAGGGGGTTGAATGCGTACAGCCAGTCGTGCATGTCCTTGTCGCTGTTGGCCTGCAGCAGGATGCCACGGTGCTCCGTGCACACGGCAAACGTGTTGGGTGTCTGCAAAGGCAGGGCTGCCGTGAGACGGCGCGAGGCCTCTGCCAGGTTGGCCCGCGGTGGTCACCGTGGGGCATGGGTGGGGGCAGGGGAGGGGCGCCACCGGGACATCCCAGGGGTGAGGGGGCAGGAAAGAAGAACCCGCAGGAGACAACCGCAGTGCACACGGCCCGGTCTGACCCGCACGGGGGCGGCCCCCTCGCGGAAGGCTCTGCGGTGGGGACACCCTGTGTCTTCTCCTGCCCCAGGGCTCCCTTGTGGCCTGCTCTGCGTGGTCCCCTGGGATGCGTCTACCCCTCCCGGGCCGAGGTTCCTTCCCCTGCGATTCTGACTCCGCTGCCGTGCCGGCCTCTCCTGCTGAGCCTGAGCCCTGGGTGGGGCAGGAGTGGGCGGCACGCCGAGTTCGTGCCCACCCCCCACCACAGGGCATCAGAAATCGGCCAGCGGGTGCTGTAGGAGTCTGGCAAAGCCAGGGTCACTGCTGGCTCGGAGAGGGGCAGGGCAAAGCCAGGGGACAGGAAGGCCGTGTTCCCAGGCCCACGACATGGCCGGCCCCGTGGGGCTCAGAGCCCCGACCCAGGGTATCCCTGGGGAATGGGTCAGTGCTCCCCCCATCTGTGGACCACAGCCATGGCTGGCCATCACCAGCACTAGGTGCCCCGTGGGAGGGCCGAAGGGGGACCCTGTGAGAGACAGGACATGGGGACCTCGGTCTGGCAGCGAGTGGGAAACGGGCCTACGGGGGACGGGGCCTGGCTCCCACCTCCCGCAGCCCTGCCGGGGGTTCGCCGGGCCTTGGCCAACCCGGGACCCGCCCATCCCATTTCCAAGGCTGTACCTTGAGCATGGCCTGCTGGTCCTCGCTGTACTCCACCTGGGCGGTGGACAGGTTGAGCACGAACCTCTCCACAGAGTCCTTGTCACTGTTGTACATGTAGGCATACGGCCGCCGTACCACCACGAAGCGCTTGGCCCAGCCGGCTGTGTGTGGCTCCAGGAAGTGCAGGTAGCCCTTCTTGGAGACGATGGGGCTGCAGGAGGGACGCCGGCTGGCTCATGTGCTCCTGGCGGTCAGTGGGGGTCTCACGGTGGGGCCCACCACCCTCCACCAGGCCCGTGGCGGTACCGGCCGGGGCTCAGGGGCTATGGGGTACCCGGTAGAACCCCAACCTGGGAGATCGGAGACCAGAACCACCAACCTATTTCTGGGCCTCAGTTTCTCCAGCTGTGAGAAGGAGAAACTTAAAAAAAAAAAAAGCTGCAGCCGCCTTCGCTGTCACATGGGGTTCCGTGACCACAACCTGTGGAGGGTGCGTTCTTGGGCCACAAGGGCCAGGCAGGCATCTGGCACAGAGGCCAAACTGATAACTTGCAGATGCGTTAAACCATCTTTCTGCAGAGGTGCCCGCGAGGTCCCCGGCCCCCTCCTGCCCTTTTGCTGTCTGCTCCTTCTCTGCTCCTGCCCCAGGTCAGGGGTGGCCTGCCTGCCTGCCTGCCTCCCTAGTGTGGTGCTGTCCCCGGGCCTGGGTCAGGGACAGAGCTGGCCGGGTGGTTTTAGAAGAGCCCCGGTTTGGGGCAGGGCACCCCCCACACACCTGACCCGGATCTCCTGGATGTCAGGAACCAGCAGGCGTGGGGGCTCTTTGTCCGCCTCCACGGCCCGAGCAGGGGATGGAAGCTTCTTCGAATCTGCCTCGGGCACAGGCTCAGGTTCTGGGCTGGCCGGCCGGGAGCAGGGCTGCGGGGTCCTGGGGAAGCAAAGCGAAGCCTCTGCACCCCTGCAGGGAGAGTCCCCGCTGGGCCGGGGAGCCACGTGGGACCGGGCTTCCTCCCACACCCAGCCGGCCCCATGGGCACCTCCCAGGGTCTGCCCGGCCGCAGCCACAGCTGGAGCTCGGGGAGGGTCCGGCGTGGCCGCAAGACCCACCGCCCTTCTCCTGGGACTTTCCGCTTGCCGCCCCTGTGAAAGCGGCCCCCTGTCTCTTCAGCTCCCCAGCTGAGCACAGGCCCGTCTCAGATGAGGCCCAGAGGGCGGGATGCCTTTTTATTTTAAGAAGAAAACGTGGATGCCTTGAGGGATTTACAGTCTAAGGGACCGGGCATAAGAGGTGCTAGTAAAGCTGAGCAGACACCAGCCATCAGCACGACGGCAGGCCCGTGGGTCTCCAAGCTACTTCGTTGCCGGTTTTCCTACTGACTGTTGTACGAGCACTTGCCCCCGAAAAGGGTTTGGCTTTTGTGCCGGTTTGACCCGTTCCCGGTTTTCGTCCCCGGTGCATTTTAAATCTACCCTTCAGCAGAAACTGGCCTCAGAAAAGTAACACAACCGGAGATGGGTGGGGGCCGCGCCACCCAGGGCAGGGCGTGGGGCAGATCCCTTCCAGCTGGCCCTGCCCTAGATGCCTGTGGCCGTCCCGGCCACGCGCGCGCCCCGCTCCCTGCACTGTGCGCCTGAGTCACGGCCGAGGTCATCGGTCGGTTCTCGGCACTGGAAGCTGCTCCCGGAGCCCGGAGCTCACTCACCTCAGATCGGCTGCTCCGTACCGCCCCTCCACCAGAGAGGGGCAGGTGGAGGAGGGTGTGAGCGTGGCTGCCCCCAGAGGGGACATGGATGGGTCCCGAAGCAGGGTGACAGACATCTCGGAGAGCTGTGGAGGACAGTGGGCCTTTGGCGGGGGGCTTGCAGAGTGGGGACACCCCTGCAGTGGCTAATTCCTATGCCTCTGCTCACCTTTTACCTCCATTTGGGGCACCCCCATTCCAACTGCAGGCCAGACCCTCTTCCCAGCCCCCCTCGACCTGCCCCTAGGCCCTACACGCCCCTACACACGTCAAAGGTGACGACCAGCGACGGGCCGCAGACTGAGCAGAGACTGCACACGGCAGGTCCCGAATCAAGGGGGGTGGGGCAGCACAGGGACCACACTAGCTCTGGGGACCAGGATCCGTCCCCTGGTAGGGGAAGGATGGCCACAGGGACGGGGCCTGACCAGCCCAGGACAGAGGCAGCTGGGTGAGGGCCAGGCCGGGAGGCCCCTGTGCTCCACAGACCCCAGGCACAGGGAGACGGGGCCCTTGGCTATGACAGTATGTTTCTAAGAAAACCCTTATTTCCTTCTCTGGATACGACTGTGAGTTCTTCTTGGTGACAACAGCCATGTGATGACCTGGGGGTGGCCCCTCTCTGCCCACCTTGCTCTCGCTGGCGCTGACGCACACGTGGCTGTGGGTGTACTCTCGGTTGAACGTGTGCGTGAGGAGGCGTAAGCACTGTTAGAGGAACAAATGCCCGGAGTCAGGAGGCCCCCAGACCCGGCTCCGCCCCAGGCACGGCCCCTGACGTGGGTGACTGTCCGGGGGCCCAGGCACCTCCACCCTCCAAGGTGACGGCTGAGCCGGGGAAGCCTCTCAGAGCAGGCTGGGGGCCGAGGGCAAAGACGGGGGGTGGGCAGCGCTGCCCACAGTCTAAGAGGCCTTCCCCGCGGCCCGTCAAGTGGCAGAAAGAGCCAGCTCCGGGCAGAGGGGGTAAGCTCCCCGTCAGCATAGGTATTCAAGGAAGCAGGTCACTGCTTGGGGGAGGAAACTGTAAAAGGCTGACAAATTCCAGTGTGGGTGGGTGAGGGGTAGGCGAGGGGACTCCCGGGACCCCTCGTTCTCCCCACTCCTGCTCTGACGGGACAGGGCTGAGTCACCCCCAGAAGGGCCGGGGTCACAGCAGCACTGCCTGAGCCACCTTGACGGCCAGCTCCCGCTGTCTCTCGTTGGGAGCCTCCAGGGGGGACGGCCGGCCCTCGGCCGAGAGTGGGGACGAGGGGCCGGACGGGCCGTGGGAGCCGGAGTCCTCGCTGGAGGCGGGGGACGGCGCCTCGGGGCCGGGCCGCTGCGTGGTCTCCAGCTTCTCCCGCAGCAGCAGGTAGTGCCTGGTCTTCTCCACCTGCACGAGAGCCAGAGCGCAGCTCAGCCCCGGGGGCGCCCGGACCCACGAGCGCCCGCCGTTTCCCTGGGGCGCTGCCGGCACTCAGCCTTGAGCCCCAGCCCCGCAGCCGCCCTTCGAAGCAGCCAGCGAGCTGCCCTCCCCCCACAGGTGTGCGGCTGCCCCCGGGGTCGGCGGGGGGTGGAACTGATGGACACTCGAGCCCCCCCACCCCCCCATGCACCCTGCGGCCCGCAGTCCGCGCCCGATGAGCACAAGCGCACCTCCTGCAGGAGACTCAGCTTCTCCAGCTCCCACTGGTGGTCCAGGATGAGGCTGTCGCTCCGGGGCCTCCAGCCCGCCAGGTTCTCCTCGCCGCGGACGTAGGCCACAGACGTATCGAGCACACGCCTCCGCCGCCGCTGCATCCCTGGAAAGGGGGTGACGGTCTGGCCACATCCGCGCCCTGGCGCCAGGCCTTGGGCCCCCCGTGGGGACTTGTCCACGGAGGGAGGCTGGCCCCCCGGGAAAGCCTCAGCCACAGGAAGTCATCCAGCACGGCGGCCGCTGGGCCCGCCCCCCGCGCTGCCTCTCCCCTCACGGTCCTCTGGCCTCTCAGAACAACTCCCGAAGTGCAAAGGTGAGCACGTGAGTCTCGAAAGTGAGGGCCCCCCAAAACGGCAGCTTAGCTGAGTGACCCCGGGGAACCCTGGCTCCTAACCAAGTACCCCCCCCCCACCAGGCGCCTACCTGGGCTGCCGGCATCGGCCACATGGCACAGGCTGAGCTCGTACACGCCTGTCACGCGGTTGCTGTGGGGAGAGGGCAGGCGGGTGGGCACCGGGCACGGCCAGGGCCGATCAAATGTGAAGCTGGCACCGGTCCTGCTGCGAGCCCATGCCTGGTGGCCCTGCGCGGGGCCGCGGGGGCCCTGAGCTGCAGCTACGTGTGGGCGGTCCCCTTCCCAGACCCCTCCGGGCCCCCTCTTGCCAGGGACCACGATTTCGCCAAGTGCGCGCCACGAACAGGGGGGAGCCAGGCTCGCAGGCGGTATCCCGTGCTCACTAGGTGACCCTGCGTGGCCGGGTTACAGCCAGCCCAAGGCCACTAAGTCCTGAGCCCCAGACTCTGTCCTCCTGGCTGTGCCCAGGTGTCCCGCACACTGGGGTCCACGAGACAGTGTGGGGAGCCTCACCGAAGGTGAGCACAGGTGGCCTGGTGGTCTCTCCTCACTGCCGTGACACTCTCGTTCACCACCCCTCCCCGCCCCAGGAATGCAGGGACAGGTCAGAGAGCAAGAAGGGACGGCTGGGCCTGGGCCTGACACTCTCCTCCCTTGGGCACTGCCAGCCTCCAATGGCAAGAGGCCCTGTCCAGAATGCCCTCTCTCCAGTCGCAGCCCCCAGGCCTGATGGCACGGCCCTGAGGTCCTACGGGGAAGCGGGCCCAGGACCACCCACAGGAGGGCTGAAGGGCAAACCCCCCAGGCCTTCTCCTGCATGCCTGTGGGCAGACTCGGGCTCTCTCACGCCCCTCAATGTGCCATCTGTGTCCCATGGCCTCCACTGACCCCAATAGCAGGAGCAGGTGAGAGGCTCTGAATGCAGGGGACTGGCTGGGACAGTGGCCAGTCTGCCTTCTGGTCTGGGCCCGCCTGAAGCCGGCGTGTCACTCGAGCCTCTGCCAGACACGCCAGCCGCTCCCCGTGCAGAGTCCGGTCTGTCCTCACCGGGACCAGAGTGCCGGACAGCAGACCCCCGGGCCACCCCCCGAGGGCAGGCTCACCTCTCCGAGGCCCGCAGGCTCCCGCTGCCAAACAGGTTGCGGATGGAGCGCGAGGCGGGCAGCTTGGCATCCCGAGAGTAGAAGACCATGCAGAAGTCCTTGGTGATGACGGCTGGCTGGGTGCAGTTCTCCATCTGCAGTGGGGGGCAGGGGGGGCTCAGGCGCAGGAGCACCCCGCGGCACCCGGGCCCCAGGCCCCCTTCTAACCTCCCGGGGCGCACAAGCCACTGACCGACAGCCCCAGACCTTCCTGGGTCTCTGCCCTGGCCCCCCACCCAGACGCGAGCTCCCTGCACCCCCCCCCCCCCCCAGGAGACTTCCGGGAGAGAGCCAGGGCCCCGCCTCCCTGGGCCGCAGAGGGCTGGCATTGGTGCCGGGGACCCCGAAGGTCCCAGACACAGGCCTCACCCTGTCAGGCCCCCGTCACCTTGCCACGGGATGGGGCAACACGCTCCCCAAAACACCTGTGAAGATCAGACCAGATCCTGGCTTCCCACCCACATTTTAACTCTAGATGACTTCCCGGGGCCCTGACATGCCATTTCTCACACCGCTGCTTCTCTTGTTTTCCTGCAGCTCAACAGCAGGTGCCGGCAGGGCCGATGTGGGCCAGGACTCATGGCGGCAGGGCCCAGCCAGTGCTTCCCCAGCAAACCGCCACCCCGAGAGGCAGTCGGGACGCTCCCTTCCCACAGCCGGAGCGATCGGGCTGGGAGGGGAGGTGGAGTGCCACCGTGCCACCAGCTGCCACCCTCCGGGCTGCTAGGTTCCCGCTGTTGCACCCAGCTGGCAACGCCCATGCTCCGGGCCACCCGCTGTGCTTGGCAGGGGAGGCACAGCGCAAGACCCTGGGGAGGGGGTTGGGCAGGCTCTCGGTTCAGGCTGCCCGGAACACGGACACAGGCCTCCCGCAACCCCGAGGTCAAAGCCACACTGAACATAGTGCTGGGAGGGGGAACGGCGCCATTAGAAGTACGTGGATTGAATAAGAACTTGACAAGTCCTCTGTCCGGGGCTACCCAGGGCCCCCACTGCCCCTTGGCAAGCATCTCAGACTTGGGGGGGCAGCGATTTGGGGGCGCACCCTTGGCACAGATTTCTCACCTCAATGTAAGCCGAGAGGGTCATGTAGATTTTCTCTCGGTACGGGGTGACCCGGTTCAGCAGCAGAGAGTTGTGCATGGAGCTGTCCCACGCGGCCTCAAACTGGTAAAAGGTCCTGGAAGGAAGCAGAGACAAGGTCGAATGTGGCAGCACACAGGCCGCGCTTGTGGGCTGGGGACATGCAGACGGACAGACACAGACAGAGAGACCCATGGGCCACCGGTCAGGAAGCCCGGGCGGCAGGTCGAGGAGAACAGTAGGTTCCTCCTTACTGGGGACCGGGCTGGGTGGGGGACTCCCCTGCGGACGGACAGATGGACGGACGGACGGGGCAGCCGCAGCGCAGACGCTGAGGCGGGGGCAGAGGGGGCAGGGAAGGGAGGGCAGGAGGCGAGCGGGCTGGGACACAGCAACAAAGGGAAAGAGGGAGGGAGAGGAGGGGAGGTGGGGGCAGACAGGGGTGAGAGACGCAGAGAGGGCAGAAGGGGGCCACCCCTTCCTGCCCCGTCTGAGTAAGGAGGTCCCGACCTGCCCAGGTTTGCCAAAACCTTGTGTGGCCCATCTCCTCCCTTGGGGGAGGACACTTGGAGTGGAAGCGGGGTGGCCCGGGGCAGATGGCCTCGCCCCCGCCCCCCGCGGCCAGGCTCCTCTCGATTTAGCACAGAGCAGGTGGTGGGCCCTGCTCCCTGTCCCCATCTCGAACCCAGGAAGATTGTGAGCAGAGCCGGAGGCCCGTGGCCCCTCTGAGGGCAGCCTAAGCCGCCCCTGGGAGGCGGGACATCACACTCTTCAGCGGCCTCCGCTCCGGGGCAGGGTTTCCTATTATAGGATAGCTCCTGTTTTCAACCACCCTGCAGAGCTCCTAAACTCTTGTCCGAGGCCGGGTGGGCATTCGAGGATCCTATCTGAGGTGGTAAATTTGCCTCAGTCCACAGTGTGGCCACTCAGCCCCCAGCCTTGCCCCGTTTCCATCCAAGCATCCTCAAAGACACAGACCGCGGGCAGCGGCTCATGCCCTGGCCCCACCGCCACCACCCCCCGCCCCCCCCCCCCCCCGCCCCACGAGGAGCCGGCCCGGCCCAGGGGCGCGGAGGGCGGCCAGGAGGAGCAAGGCCACGCCGGGGCGCGGACGGGCTTCCCGTGACACGCTCAGGGGCGCGGGGCGAAGCCGTGGGACGGGGCAGGGCCGCTGTCACACACACGTCACCGAGGACAAAGACCCAGGGGAAGAGACGTGAGGACAGCGGGGTGACCGGAGAACTGGCAGAGAGCGCAGGGGGGACGTCGCAGGAGAAAGGGGACTGAAAGCGGAAGAGGGACGGACCAAGCCAGCGCGGAAGAGAAAAGTGAGCTGTACCTAGTGTCATTTCCAAACGAAACGCTAAAGGTGGAGGCAGCCAGGACACACACGTACACACAGAAGAGATGGACAAGTCAGAACGAGCACGGTCACACGGCCGGGCACAAGCTGACCGACAGTGAGCGGGCGTGTGTGCTGTCCCGCCGGCCGCCGAAGCGCCTCACGGGGCGGCGGGCGGGGCCCTCTCCGACCCCGGCCCCCCACGTCTGCGCCGAGAGCTTTGGGTCACCCCAGCAAGACCAGGCGGGTACCCGTGGACCCGTGACCAAGACCTAAAGGGACACCCTCGGTCCCGGGGGGCCCCCCAGACACCGCAGGCCCGCAGGCACGGCTGGTGGTCCACGGCAGCCTGGCCCAAACGCCCTCCGGACCCCCGGCCTCCGAATGCTCCCGCACGGCCACTCGACCCCGGGCCTTCGCCAGACATCTCTGTACCCTGCTTCCTGGACGGACCACCGGCCAGCACTGGGCCCCATGGAGACGTGCTGCGGGCTGGACGAGCCAGTACAAGGTGCCGAGGGCGGGGCCTGGGGGTCATCATCCTTAGTCCTCGCCTCCTAGAGGCCCCGATGACACACCGGGGACGGCTAACCTGGGGCCCCCACCCAAGTGGGCCAGCCGGCCCCAAACCCTCTAGCTTGGCCCACGGCCTCAGCTCGGTGCGGTCCCCTCTGTCCACCTGCCTCAAAAGTCACTAAAGAACACCGCCGGCTTCCGTTCCGCTGCAAGTGCTCCGGCCGTGTGGACCCGGCCTGCCCCCACCGCTGGCCCGAGATCGGGGACCCGCACGGGGACAGCGTGCACTCTCTGTGTGCCCCTCCCAGGGCAGGCTCCTACTCGGGCATCAGGAGCTGGGTCCCCGCCTCGTCCGGAGCCCCTCAGCCTCGGGCGGGACACTCCAGAGGAGCCAGAGCCAGCCCGGTCTGGCCAGCCAGAGACCCAGGGCTCAGCCAGGGGCCTCGCCCCAGGACCAGGTGGGCCATCCCAGAACCGGCTGGAGCCGCACGGAGAGACGGCACACCTCCAACAAGGCTTACCGAGGCCCCTTGAAGGTGCTCTTGGCCGGGAGGCCCTCCGTCAGGCTTTTGCCCTGATGAGACTCCAGTGACCAAGAATCTCTCCGAAAACCTGAACCTGTGGGTCTCACGTATGAGGTGACGGGGGGTGGGGACCCTCTTGGGCCCACGTCCACAGCCTAGGATGGCACCTTTCACCGCACCGTTCCCCAGGTGCCAAGATGGCCAGGGTCTGACCTGGCATAGCCAAGCTGCTGCCCATAGCTGGCTCCAAACCACTGGTCAGCCCCCAGCCAGCCGTCCCGGAGCCCCAGGCAGGAAGGGTCCCCAACAACACTCCCGAGCCCCTGGAGCCTCTGCAGAGGGAGGTCCCGCCCAGATGACGGCAGGTGTGCTTGGGGTGCAGAGGGCGGTGGCCCCTCCGATGTGGGACCTAGACAGCCACGTAGGACACCAAGCCTGCAGGACGCAGCATGGGAACCGCCGATTGGTGCCCCCCTGATCAGGAAGCAGGAAACTAAGACCCAGAGAGCCAGAGAGGGAGCCGTAGTGAGCCAGGATGCCATGGGAGGCCGTGGGTACCATACCGGAACCCCACTTGTGAACAGGCACAGGACTCCGGAGATCTCTCTGGGCATCAGGTCACCCCCAGAAGAGAGCCCCATTCCCCACAGCACCCCTCACTCTGCCCCACCCGACACCCAGCCAGTCCCTCAGATACAACTCCTGGGGGAACCGTGCAGCCCGGACGTGGGGTCCCCGGACCCGAAGCGGCAGCACCACTCGGACGCTGCGCTGTTAGCAGTGCGGATTCTCAGGCCCCACCCCCAACCCACTGACCCACTGAGGCCGAAACACTGGGATGCGGCCACCTCGTGAGTGGAGCCCCTGAGCCCACTCCGGCGCCTCCCCTTGGGCTTGGCCCACCCCACCAGCCCGCAGGCCCTCGGGATCCAGCCCATTTGGGGAAACAGGCCAGAGCACGTGTCCCTCCTCCAGTGAGGTCCCACCCATGGCCCCAGCCCTCAGCCCTTCTCCGGGCCACCCTTGTGTAGAAAGAGCAGCGGGCAGGGCAAGGCTTGGCCCACGGCAGAGCCCTAGGGGCTCCCACGGGGCCCTCCCTCTGGAAGGAAAATGCCGCCCTGCACAGATGCTTCCGCAGCCGACTGCGGGGCTCAGGATCAAGGCGCCCCCTCCTCTGAGACATCCCTGGTCCAGTCCAGCAGCCTCCAGCCCTGTCTCAACACAGAGCAGCTCAAGCCGGGTGGGGCGGGGTCCCAGGCTGGGAGGTCGCTCGGCCGGCTCTCCTCTAGCCACGCAGAGAGTGGGGCCGCAGGGGCCCAGAAACGGGACCACCCCCCAATTGAGTGCCGGGACGTGGAGCTTGATGCTCAAACAAGGGAGGACCCATGTGGGGAAAACCAAAAACTCACTTAAAAAGTTTGTCGACAGAGAAAACGTCATACGCTCTACAATGTTTTGTCCGTGTCGACTCTTGCTCAGAAAGTTTCAGCGGCTACACCGGCCAGGACAGGGGCAGGTGTCTCATCTCCCCTCGGATTGTGACACGGGAGCCCCCACGCCTGCCCTGCCCTGCCTAACCCAACGGGCTGTGCGCCCGCGCACATCCCCGCGGGGCTCGGGTGGGGCCGGACTGCCAGGGTAGGGTAATCGGGAGGTCGGGGCTCCCAGCACACAGGCCTGGGCATTCCCGATGGGACTCTCGCGTGCCGGCTGCACGTGGCCTATTTAGACATCTAGACAACCGTGTTGTGACTTGCACCTGGCGCTTGTGACAAGTGTCTCAGCTGTGGCAGGTTAGTGGGTGGGCCAGGTGGGCATCCTGACGTGAACAGATTTGTTGAGAATCTGAAAATTAAACCCATGCTCAAAGTTTCAACAAGAAACTCATAACGCTCTAGGAAGTCCGTTTCTAGAAGAGAATTACTCTCAAGAGTGGCCCTGGGGAAGGCGAACCGACAGGCAGACTTCCAGGACGGAGCCCCCCGGACTGCAGCCGGGACAGCCCTCGTGTCTGGCGAGGAGCGTGACCCCAGCACGGTCACACAGCTAGGAGCAGGGCAACGGGCTTGAACCCCAGCCTTGGGGATTCTGCTGCACCTGACGCGACGCATGTAAGGCTCAGCGGCCTCACCCACCGTGCCGTGCGAGAGTCCTTGGACCAGAAGGAAAAGGAGAAATGAGACGATTAAGGGACTGAGGGGACGAGGAAGTGGGGAGGTGAGGGGGTGAGGGGGTGAAGGGATGAAGGCAGGGGGTGAGGGGATGAAGGGGTGAGGGGATAAGAGGTGAGGGGTGAGGGAGTAAGGGATGAGGCAATGAGAGGGTGAAGAGTGAGGAGGTGAGGGAATAAGAGGGTAAGGAGTGAGGACGTAAGGAGATGAAGGAGTGAGAGGATAAGAGGGTGAGGGGCGAGGAGATAAGGCTGAGGGGTGAGGGGATGAGAGTGTAGGAGGTGAGGAGATGAGGGGATAAGTGGTTGGGGGTGAGGCGTGAAGGGTGGGGGGAGAGGAGGTGAGGGGATGAGGGGTGAGGGATAAGTGGTCAGGGGTGAGGGGTGAGGGGATGAGAGGTGAGGGGTGAGGGGATGAGGGGTGAGGGGTAAGTGGTTGGGGGTGACGGCTGAGGAGTGAAGGGATGAAGGGTGAGAGATAAGTGGTCAGGGGTGGGGGGTGTGGTGTGAGGGGGTGAGGGG